ACGTTTCCAGTTTAGAGATAAGGATGTCATGCGGGAAAAAGTGAGGTGGTTAGTAGGTGACTATGGGATTCTGTTTGTGCTTAAAGAATAAGAGTGAGAAAATGAAATTAAGAGGATAATTAATCAGTGACTGTGGTTAAAAGGAAGGGAATGACAGGAAATGCCTTTGAGACTACGTCTAGATAAGTGTGCTGAAGCTGAATGCGTATTACAGTGGTTAAATTTTCTAACACTTGTGAGCAAATCTGCTTTTCAGTTTACAGGGTATATAGATATGAAAAAGTCAAAGATGAGAGCTGATTTATGTTGAGGATCTTAGGGGTGGCTTTGGGGGAAAAAAAAAAGGAATAAAATTTGAATGACTTTAAAGTTTAATATTGACTCATTTCCAGCATAAGGGTTAAACAGCAGGTAAAATAAACTGGACATGTTCAGTCTAGAGAAATGGCATGAGAAAGCAGTGGCAGTGATCATTTCAGTCCAGGGGAGTCAAACTCATCATTGACCTCATTGTGTCTTGACACAGGGCATGGGTGTGTCATTTGGCAAAATAAAGATCACAGAATCATAGAATGGTTTGGATTGGAAGGGACCTTAAAGATCATCTAGTTCCAATCCCCACATCTAGTGGGGATCATCTAGTATCCAATCCAGATAAACCACATTGGTACTCAAATTTGTTTATGTTTAATGAAGCCTTTGAATAACCAGTATATTTTACAGCATTTACTTTTAAAGTTAGCTCAGGTCTTGAAGGAATTGGTGAGACTTGTTAGCACGCAGACAGCACTACAAGAACACAGCTGTAGTGCTTTCAGACCCAAGCTGGTGCTGTCATATGGCACTGCTTGAGTTGGACAGGGATCTTTTCAGTGTTCTCCTTTTTTGTTATGTAGACCATGTCTGAAGGTTCATGGGGAACTGTCAGGCTCCTGAAACTGTTTTGTGGGCTGTATATGGACTATGGCTTTTTGTTTTAACATCCCTGACTTAGGCAGATCTGTAAATTGTAGCATCTTAAGAAAATATCTTGTTTAAATAGCAGAATTCGTAACTTTTAGGGTGGTGACAGTCCCTCTCTCCACTTCTGCTCTGCCACTTATCCAAAAACTCTTTCGTCTTGGACAGCATATAAATGAAACATTTTAAAAGAGTTTATGGATGGAAAAATGCTGTCAATAAGCAACCATTGCTTTTTCTCTAGGGAAGAGAATCCGGCACCATTCAGAGATACAGTCTGCCTAGCGTTGCTATAGTACAGAAGTATTCCCTGAACTGTCATGCATATCAGCTCTCTCTGAACTGCAACTCCAGGTAAGTTACAGATCTGCTTCTAACACAGGTCGCCGATTTTAAAGGAAACCACTACAATTTGTGAAAATACTAATTCTATGAATTCCATCATTCTATAATAATTAGGTACTCATTGTCTCATTCTTTGTCTGTTTTTCTGTAGCCGTGTTGCTGTCATAGACCTTTCAGGTGTTTTGACTTTCTTTGACTTGGATTCACGAGTTGTAGACAGTGCAGGACAGCAAGTGACAGGGGAGCAGCTGAAACTGGAACGCAAAGATGTCTGGGATATGAAATGGGCCAAAGATAATCCAGATTTGTTTGCAATGATGGAAAAAACAAGAATGTATGTTTTCAGAAACTTGGATCCGGAGGTAAATATTAACACACATAAACTGCTCGTTTTACAAATTGCTTGTAAGTTAATGGCTTTATGTTGGATAGTATTATTCTTGTGCTTACCATTCGATTAGGCAAGTGTTTCTATAAATAAATTTTCTTCTGGAAATCTCAAAATCTTGTCAGTCTAATGTGGGAGTAAAATGAACTATCAGTCCTGAAAACATAAAAATGCTGTCATATTTTTCTTAAATATATGAGATATTTTCAGGAGCATATTTTTTATGGGCTTTGGAAAATATAAACACAGTTTTAGTAAAGATATTTGTAAAACACAATTCATAGAATCATAGAATGGTTTGGATTGGAAGGGACCTTAAAGACCATCCAGTTCCAATCCCCCTGCCATCAGCAGGGACACCTTCCACTAGACCAGGTTGCTCAAAGCCTCATCCAGCCTGACCTTAAATACTTCCAGGAAGGGGGCATCCACAACTTCCTTGGGCAACCTGTTCCAGTTGAATTCAACCTGTTCCAGTTGAATTCAGATGAATCTAAATTTTGGGAGGCGTTCCTTTATCTCTTTCTCATAATTTAGTTATAAAAAACATGAAGATTTTTAAGTATGTGGAATATGGAATTGTCAGTAACATTAATGATTTTAGTATTTGTTTCCTGTTGGAAATACAATTAAATCCTAGTTTGGAGAAAAAGAAAATCTCTTTATGTATACCTAACAGATTTGGTTAGGATTTAATCAGACAGAATACAAGTTAATTCCTTTGTAACTTATTTAAATTTAAGGAACCTATACAAACTTCTGGATATATCTGCAACTTTGAAGATTTAGAAATCAAATCTGTTCTTCTGGATGAAATATTAAAGGTAAGTATAATTCATTTTATTTTGTAGAAAAAGGTGGTGTCTGCCGTAGTGATCTGAACAGTAGATATCTATGTTGAAAATAAAGGTGACACGGAATAAAATTATGTTTCTTTATCTATTATGTTAGAATCCTGAACATCCTGACAAAGATTACATCATCAATTTTGAGATTCGGTCATTACGAGACAGTCGAGCATTGATTGAAAAAGTTGGCATTGAGGAATCTTCTCAATTCATAGAAGACAATCCACATCCCAGACTTTGGTAAAATCTCTTTATAAGACAACTTTATTTAAATTTGTGTTCTTTTGTATTCTTTTCCTGTTCAGACAGATCTAGTATTAAAGTACAGAACTTCAAATGAAAACCAGCTAAAGCAGTATACACTTTAAACAGAATCATTTAAGGGGAGAGGAAAAAGACATGGAAGGCATGCTGTGTGTGTCACAGCAGTGGGTATAGCGTACAGGCTCCAGACACCTTTTTGCTCTATGCTGTATGAGCCCCAAAACACAGTGCTCCTTGCTTTTCATTGCCTTCAGTCTCAAGGCAATGAAAAAGCTAGCAGAAAGATAACTTTAAGTTGGTTAAATTAAATTTCAAATTGGTCATAAGTTGAGAGGTTATTTGCTTATTTATATATTTTATATTGAACCTTGATGACAAAGAGCTTAAAACCCAGTAAAGGGAACACATTAGAATGATAACAAGATAAGAGCAGTTGATGAACCTTGTAGCATTTTGGACAGGCCATAAAAGACAGCCATGAGGAGGGATAAGTACATTAATCATGTTATGATGCAGCCTCTCAGAAGTAATCTGAGAAAAGGAGATGTTGGCATGCTTAAACTAAACACGGACTCAGATATTAAACAAAAGTTGAAAAGCCTGTGCAGCAAACATGTAAGAGTAAACTTGTGAAAACAGGAGTTCTGGAAATCTATTTAATATCCCACATCATAAGAGCTGGAAGAGTAAATGCCTCAGTAGATAATTTAATGAAAAACCAGTAGCAGAAACTCTCTGGACATTGTTTCTCTATCTGTACCTTCCTTTAGTAATTTTGACTCTGTTTTGAAGCTAACTGATTTTTTGCAGTGTTGTATGTTTGACTTGCATGAAGGAGGGTTGAGTGTTCGCTGTTAATTCTGACAGTTCAGAGGAGAATTTAGAATTGCTGAAAGACTGGCCAAGACAACTTGCTTTAAAAAGGTTGTCCCAAAAAGCATTCCTTCCTATCCAGTTGTGTTTTTGTCTCTGATGTCTACATTCTGAAAAAGAGGATTTGATAAGCTACATGTTGAAAGTTTCTGTAATGGTATTGTAATTTTATTAATTTGAGTACGTAGGGTAAAACGTTAGTTTTGCAAATCTTAATTTTTATAATGTCGTCAACTAGCTAACAATTTTTGGAGTTTTGAAGTCGTTCATGCTTTTTGCTAGTATCATCTATTTATTTCATATAAAATGACTATTAGTTTTGAAAGTCTGTATCTCAGTAAAAGTTTTATATTGTAAAATCACAAAATATATGTCAAATGCTGTTCACCTTGCTCCAAAATTGCCATGAACTTAATTTTTATTGTGCAAAGAAAAACATACGCTATGTCACATATTTATAAAGAGGAGATGGATTAGAAAAGCTGGATATAAAGTAAATATATTCTACATCAGGACAGGACAGTGCCCTTCCTGATAGAATGTAACAAACAGGATGGTGTGTGCTGGAGATCGATTAGATTTGCCATTCTGTTTTTCTCTTGGTTTCATTGATGTCAGTTGTGGAGGACTGGTTAGCTGACAAGGGTCACATAGACATACTGTAGATGGCTGACCAGGATTTTGGGAAACATCGGACTCTGCTAGTCCGAAGTGCTAAGGTGGTAAGGACACGCTGTCCTTGACTGCAGCTGTTATACGATAACAGGATGCTTACGGTCAGCTAAGGCATGGGAAATAAGGGAGTAAGTAACCAAGAATGAGGAACTAGGGGAGGGGTTGACGTTTAGGATAGTGACCAATGAATTAGTTAGATTACAGAATATGTATGATCTCATTAAGAACTGTATAAGTATGCTGAATGCTGATCAATAAATCGAAGCTTGCTGATCACTCACATTGAGTGCTCGAGTCTTCCCACCGCGACAGTCAGTGATGAGGACTCAAGCTGAAGGGATACTGACCTTCTCAAATGGATTCAAAATACTGAGTTGATAGTGCTGAAGCGTGGCTTCAGTCACTGAATACAGCAATAATATTACTGGTTTTGTCAGTGCCCTACTGCACTGACCTTGTTTCACAGTGTCAAACAGCCAGTCTGAATTTACCTAGCCTTATTTCTGCAGAAAATTCTACACCTTATTCAGGCACCTTGTGGACGTCGGCTGTCCCGAAGGTAGCGGTTCTCTGTTTGCAGAACTAACCAACGGGGCAATACCAGTACAAGGCTTCCCAAACTGCCCTGCTCTCCAAGCCTGCTGTCTTAATTGGACAAGGAACATCCAAATGAATTAGAAGAATAATTTATTTTTCATGGACAATTTAATTGGAGGCCTTGAGACTGAAGCTGCCATCAAGGCTTGAAGTGATGATATATGTGTAGGTAGAAATATCTAAATAGAATTGCACTGAGGCCAGCAACACATTTCACATGGGACAACTGTAATACTCAAACCCTGCCCATTCCTCTCAAGCCAGTGTCCATTTGAACAGCTAACAAAATAATATTAGCAATTATTTGAACATCTTTCCTTGAGCAAGTACTGGATAGATCACAGAATGTACTGGGAACAAACATACAATTGAATTGAGATTAGTTAGTAAACAATACAATTTCAGTAACCTCAGTGTCTTTTTAAATAATGACTAGTTACATGGATCCTTGTTTAATTTACTTTATAGCTGCTTTTCCATCTGTCATGTTTGTTTTTCACACAGGCGTCTCCTGGCTGAAGCTGCTCTTCAAAAGCTGGATCTGCAGACTGCTGAACAGGCTTTTGTACGTTGTAAAGATTATCAAGGTATTAAATTTGTGAAGCGTCTAGGCAACCTGCAGAGCAAGTCAATGAAGCAAGCAGAAGTGGCAGCCTATTTTAGTAGATTTGAAGAAGCTGAAAGAATGTATCTGGATATGGACAGAAGGTAATTGCATGTAGTCATCTCAGCAGAAAATAGGAAAAAAGTCTGGGGGGAAAAAAAAGCTTGCCTTAATAAGGAATGACTGTTTTAGCACTGAAGACTCCTTGGCAGTTTCTGGAAAGATGGAGAGAATTTTGTTGTATCCATAGATAACCAATTCTATATGTAAATCAGTGCATTCCAAGCTGTTTGCAAAACCTCAGCTGCTCTAGGTAGTGCTGTGTTTCACAGATGCTTTTGCAAGTATTTTGTCAGTATATCAACTGGGATTCCAAAAATACAAACAAATAATCTTAACTAATGTTTAATTTATGTACTGTTGCTCTTAGCTAGTAGCCAAGTACACATTCTTTCCAATTACATATACAAACAACAGAGTTTTTAATGAACTGTAATCTCTGGAGAGACAGCAAGGACTCTGGATGAAACTGGGGACCAATCAATGGAATTTTTGCTCAGGAATGAAAACAAACAAAGCAAAATTACAATATTACTGGGAAATATAAATTAATGCTAAGTAATTAGCTTGAGCACTGTCTTTACTGAAAAAGAATAATGAGAAATAATAAGCAACAGTTGTACGATGTAGCCTGTAGGTGGTGGTCAGACATGGCAAAGCATGAATCACTTATGCACATGTGAAATTTTAAAGCTTTGATTAACGGGGCCATGAAAAAAAGTAGGGATGAAAGATGGAAGAAAAACCTGTTTATTCTTTCATGCTGTAAGAATGAGAAACCTTCTTCTTCCCCAGTTAGGAGGCGGGGGAGAAGGCAGGAACTGGGGAGAGATGCACATTAGAGCCCGGTAATGGAAAACTTTATTGCACATAATTAATTAGCCCATGGAAGTATGCTGTTTTGGAGAGGTGGACTGTCTCATAACCACTTCAGTTGCACTGCAACACTGATTAGATATAGCATATTCCTTTCCACATGGCTGAAGAGAAATTTGGCCATTATAGGATGGCAGAAGTCAAAGATTTACTTTTTTTTTTTTACTGGTTTCTTCACCAGTAGAGCATATTATTCTTCAGATACAGGAATATTGCAATTCTGTATTGACCTTTTGTGTCTACTCACCATTAGAAAAATCTTACTACAAACCTACCATAAATCAAGCTGAGATAAATCTATTTTTCAAATACACTTTTAAATTTTTTAGATAGGTGCCTTATTTAGTTGACTGCACTGACTTGCTGTTGCCTTCCTTAACTCATTTGTAAGTTTAGGGCATTTTTAAAATAAGTGTCTATATCTCTCCCATTTATTTTCTCTGCACCTGCAGAATTACTTCTATATGAAGTAATACAGAATTATTCTATGGGGTGTAAAAAATGTGCCAGACAGACACATGATGGGTCATATGTACGCATGAATAATAAAAAGGAAAGACTACTTCTGAGTCCTTTCTCCTGCATCCAAACTCACCCTGAATCTGAAAGAGAAGTCTCTGTAATCCATTTTATTACATCTCAGCTTTGGCCTCCATTATTTATATTCCTTGCTCCTTGGCCTTTCCCTTCATCTCCCTTCTGCTTTTAGCCTTTTGTTGCTGCTGTGGTGGGTTGACCCTGGCTAGAGGCCAGATGCCCACCAAAGCACTGGTCAGCAGTGAAATGTAAAGAAAGGTAGCAGAGTAAGAGGAAACCTGAGGTGACATCAGCCCAACTGTCGCACCAGCTGCTCATTTAACTCCTCACACAGGAGCATGGCTAATAGGGAAGTACAGGCATATGATACAACCTGTGAGTTCTCTGAGTGTTTGCTTTTATGGAATACTGTTTAAATTGTAAATGAGCTATCCAGGATCATTGTGATACCTCCGATGTAGGTTATGAACGTGACAATACTTTTGGATGCTTTTCTAAAGATTTTTGTTAGTTATTTTATTGTCTTTGACTTTTTCCTGCTATTTTCTGTTTATACTAGAGATCTTGCCATTGGGCTACGGATAAAACTGGGAGATTGGTTTCGAGTATTGCAGCTCTTGAAAGCTGGCTCAGGTGATTTGGATGATGCTCTTTTTGAACAAGCATACAATGCTATTGGAGATTATTTTGCAGACCGTCAGAAATGGTATGTGCTATAGAGGAACTAGTAAGAAGGAAATTACAAAACTGATGACACGACTTAATTTATGAGGAGGAAAGTCAGGATGCGATACATGAGATAATTCTGGACCGATGAAATGTAGCTCAGACCTTTATGGTTCCATCACTACATGTACCTTTAAACAGAGAGCTGTTGATCAACTATCTAAAGAATAAAGGTGATCTGCTTCTGGCAAAACTGAGAATTTTATCTGCTTCAAAGGAAGGGAGGGGAAGAGACAAACCTATACAGTTGTAATAGGCTTGATATAGAAAGGGTTAAAGAAAAAAATCAATTAAAAGTAGGAAAGAATTATTAAACATCAGTGAATTTCAAAACTAACCATGAGCTTTCTGGAATGCTTACACCCATAAATATTTGAAGAGGTCCAGGGTTCTCTCTGACCTGGATCTGTTGCCAGCTATTGCCCAAACTGAGCACCCAAGGAAGATTTTAAGAACAGTGCACGCATGTAATAGTATTTCTCTAGAACATGTTTTGTAGTCAGGTACTTACTGAGCCAGAAGTGACATCTTCATAGTTAATAACTAGCAGCCAGATTCTCTTTTATGAACAGTTCTTGTTGCCTTCTAAGCCCATGTAAACTTTTAGCATCCAGAACACAGTGTCTCATAGAGTTCCACAGCTCCACTTATGTATTGCAATTACCCAAACTATATTACCACAAAAACTTGTGTCCCAGAGCAGTTGAAAACTTGTGATTAGATTTTGAAAGTTGATTTTTAGATGCTTTAGGTAACTTTGGAGAATGGTCTTGGAGATCTTGTTGCAAGGGGAAATGGGTTTAAGCTGAAAGAGGGTAGGTTTAGATTAGATATTAGGAAGAAGTTCTTCACTGTGAGGGTGGTCAGACACTGGAACAGGTTGCCCAGGGAAGTTGTTTTTGCCCCCTCCCTGGAAGTGTTCAAGGCCAGGCTGGATGAGGCTTTGAGCAACCTGATCTAGTGGAAGGTGTCCCTGCTGATGGCAGGGGGGTTGGAACTGGATGATCTTTAAGGTCCCTTCCCACCCAAACCATTCTATGATTCTGTGATAAAACATGAAGGCACAACGATAAAGCTCTTTTCTGAAAGTTTAGTTGTAAGTTGTTGTCCATTATCAGCCACGATCTGTGCAGATGTGGGAATACAGGTTTAAGGTTTCTTGACTTCCTAACGTTATGATAGTCAGAGAATTAGTCTTGCTACTACTTCAATATAATCATCTCTGAAAATGGAAACTTCTAGTGCATTTTAGAAAAACAGTGAAATTCTAGCTGCAAAAGCTCTCTCAAGCAAAGTTACCTATTTAAAATAATGTCATTTTAAATTTACAAATGCAAAAGGCTTACACAATGAGAAGCTTCACTTGTGTTTATGTATCAGAAGCCACATTTTTTTTTCTTATTAGGTTAAATGCTGTACAGTATTACGTACAAGGACGAAACCAGGAACGTTTAGCTGAATGTTACTACATGCTAGAGGACTACCAAGGACTGGAGAATCTAGCTAACTTGCTTCCAGAGAATGATAAATTGCTCCCTGTAAGCAAAAAGCACCTTTATTTTTCTTTGTCTTATGCTCAACTCTTTATTTAAAATTTCCATCTTGGGAGGGGAAAGAATGCAATATGTGACATACTTAAGCATAGTGGTGTTACTTTGATATTGATCTCCAATGTTACTGTTGTTTTCATACTCCATCATTCTTCCTTTCCCTTATTGTTCAGGTTCCCTATATAGACCTGGTTATTCATCGTGCTCTACAGCCACATGGCTAAGTCATAATTCACCGCTCCCCTCCCCAGATTGTGGCATTTCTTTCTAAAATAGCTTCACTGAGGAGTCACTCCTCATGGCTGGACATTTAAGGTTTCATTTGTCATCTAGTCTGCATTGGGAGTTCTTTTGCCCCAAATTCTTCCTGTTTCCTATGCCTGGTTTAAAGTCTTGCATGATGGCTCTGGTGGGAATGCTAATGTACAATGAAAACTGGAGATACTCTGCTGAAAGGATGGAAAGTTGGTGGTTTAGCCTGAAATGGCCTACTGAGTAATAGCTAATTTAAAAATGGTATGATTGATTACTCAAATGCTTGAAAAATGCAAAGCATGCTCATCTAATGCCATTTTCAGTGGTTTGAACAAAAAAGACATAGCACTTTCTTTATAAGCTCTTTCTAATAGTGAAGTTTTGTGAAATACTCCAAATAGTAAGAACACAGTCCTTCTGGTATGATTTGATTTGAAAGTAATTTTTTATATAGCTTTTTTTTTTTTAACTTAGAAGCAGTGTGTGAAAGCAGAACACTGTTCTCAAGATTTATTATAGTGCGTGTTGTCTTCACAGAATCCATGAAGCAAAAAACCCCTTTCCCCCAACTTCTTGGAATTAAATGAAACAAGAATATAACAGTATTGCAGTTGCTATGCAATGTGCTAAAAACCTCGAAGTGAATTTAACACAGTGCTGATGCTTTTTGCAGGATATAGCTTATATGTTTGTAAGAGTGGGGATGTGTGAACAAGCTGTGTCAGCCTTTCTGAAATGTAATCGACCAAAGGATGCAGTAGATACCTGTGTACATCTCAACCAGGTAAAACAGCAGTGGATAATCTGCTTTACTGATACCAATTAAACAGTGAGATTTCTATCCTAATGCCCAGTTAAATACAAGTCCTTGTTAAGTGTCTGATGATTCATCGTGATTTCTGGAAAATTCATACTTCAGTGCTTAAGCTGGTTATCAGAAGTTAGGACTAGACCATTGGAGGGACAAAGCTGTATCCAGCAGTGCTACTTCTGCACGTGTGTGTGTGTGGTAAGCGTGCTCAGCACACAGACATTTGTGGCCTTTGTAAAGCCAGGCTGTGCTGCCTCCTGATGGAATGGGAGGAAGGCTGGAGAGCTTCTGGCTGCTCATTTTCCCCATCCCTCTCCTTCCTTGTACAGATGCAAATGTATTTGCGTCTGCATTAGGATGTGGCTGGAAAAGAGCTGATCTGAAAAATTATTTGTATGTTTACAGCTAGAGCTGTTCTCCAGCGTGACTTACCTGTGCAAACATTTGTGTCAACACAAATAAGAGGGAAACTGAGGATGGCTATGAGGAGCTTGAGTATGGGAATGGCAGGACTGGCTAATGCTGTCTTTATGGGATCCAGTTCCTAGTTTAGGGATCTGAAGGGCTATTAGGTATGAGATTCAGCCAGGCTTCTCAGTCCTGCCAAACTTTTGATCTGGGGCAAACACAGTAGCCAAATGTTGAAGATCAGGAAAATTCACAGACAAAATGAGGTGTATAGAAGGACAGTAAAGTGTCATTGTTTGTGGCTTGAGCTTATGGGCTGAAGTCCTCCTTTAGCCACGATTTTGACCGTCTGGGTTTTAGTAGTATCAGAAGTGTTGAAATCCACATGTCAAGCTATAAGCAGCAATGAAGTGATTTTGCAAAGCTTTTACCAAAGCAGAAGCAACTGTTTTGTATGTGGTTTTGGACAGAGGTCCAGCATTTGTTTCACAAGCCTGCTGTATTACATGATTGGCAATGATGTTAGCATTTGTATTCTCTTGCTTTTTAATTTTGTAGTAGCCTGATTCTAAATGGTGATGAAATATTGCACACTAATGCTGCAGACTATTCATGGATAACCAGCTTGCTCTGTGAATGTATTTGAAAAAAATCAGGTTGATAATTATCTGCTTTCATTTCTAGTGGAATAAAGCTGTGGAGCTGGCTAAAAATCACAATATGAAAGAGATTGGATCCTTGTTAGCCAGATATGCAAGTCATTTACTGGAAAAGAATAAAATCCTTGATGCTATAGAACTCTATCGTAAAGCCAATTATTTCTTTGAAGCTGCTAAGCTCATGTTCAAGGTATGGCAGGTTTTATTTTTATGTCAAATAACTGGGTTTTTGGACTAGCTCTTATTAATTCCATGCTACTTTTATTTTCTTGGGGTTATGTTAGTGTTAAAAATGTCCAGGCAGGAAGCAGATGTCATTATACAGGATACTGCAAAGATGAATCCAACTCCTAAGCTCAGGCATCTTTATCTATTAGTTACCCTGGATGTCCTCTGTAGCCAGTGGAGAGGAGACTTTCAGGACACAAGCCATCATATTTATTTTGAGACTTTCATTTCAGAATGAGATGAACTGCACCTCAGAAAGGGTCCTGTTGGCCTGCATTGCCTAGAGAAGGAGTACAGGAGACTGCCCTGGGTGCAATGTCCACATTATTTTATACATTGTGTGGATTAGTCTTCTCTCCTTTATTTTTAAAAATAGTAATGTCGTTAACAAGAAGTTAAATTCTGGTAAATCTTCAATTGGTGCCTTCAATTAGAAACTGCTGTAGTGTGCTTTTAAGATAAAGATGTTACTTAGATTTGGTTTGGCTGCGAGATTTCTGTACATAGCTTATAAAGTCTTTGACATAATTTTTACAGCAAATATTTATAGTAAGTATATATATATATGTTACTTTCAAAAGCCATTCTTCTTTTCTGGGAAAAACACCAGACTTTATGGAAAGCTATATATTTCTTGAACTTCAGTGTTTAAAAATCACTATTTTTTTAGTTTATTTTTATATTAAGTCAATAGACTTGTACATGGTTACACTGATTTATCCTTCCTGAGAATCTGGCTTTATATATTTGTTAGCTAAATAAATATAGAATAATGTGCATTCTTCACTTTGACATTTTAATTTATAGTTCTGTTTGCAGTCTAAATTATTACATTCAAATGCAGAACTGTTTTTTGGCATGATTTCCTAGGTTTGTACAAGCATGCGATTGTCCAAGTGAATGAAGCAACTCCTCTAATATTTTATTTTATTTTATTAAATCTACATTAAATTCCTTGGTTTTGTTTTCTAAGATTGCAGATGAAGAGGCAAAGAAAAGGACAAAGCCTTTGCGAGTTAAAAAGCTTTATGTATTGTCAGCCTTACTTATAGAACAGTGCCACGAACAAATGCAAAATGCACAAAGGGGAAAACTTAAAGGAAGAAGTTCAGAGGTAGAGTGTCTTTGTTTGTTTGTTTGTTTCTGAATTCTGGTATGTGCTACCTCATCAGAATAAATAAAGCTATCTTCATGTGAGGCTATTATGTTTTTTTTAATAACCCTTTTTCCAGCTAAGAACAAGCTTTTCTTAAAGCAAGTCTTCTGAGAAAACATATTGTTTAAAGTATTATTTTAAAACATTTAAATCATATGTATTAATAGATATTTTTCTTCCTAAGTTTAATGTGTTTTTCTTAATGTTTTCACTGTAACAATGAAAATCATACTAAGAAACTCCAGATTATTTTTTTTCCTGCAAGACTCTTAACTTTCCTGTCATTTAGGAGTAAATATCAATCCCAAAGAGAGATCTGTGATTAGATTAAGCTATTTTGACTATAATTTAGCAGGGAGATGGCTCCAGATATGGGGGAAGCAAATGGAAGACTTTTTTTTTTTTTCCTGCTCACACTTTCATCTTCATATGCACAAATTAAATAGTTTAAATAAAGTTTTAAGAGATCTAGTGTTGAAATGCAATATTAATCCAAACTATGAACCAGTCTGCAGATGTGCACAGGATATATTTGTACACATGCATATGATATTTATCTTTGAAAATCTACACCAGATGTTCTGCCTGTGCACTGCATAAAATGCCTGACAATGTTCGCTTTAGGCCCATGTATTTATATTTTCCCTAGTTAACAGAGACAGTGGTGTAATCACCAAGTACAGAAAAGTTCTTTTCATTTATCCCCATTTCCTGCTGTATCTGTTTTGTATAAAAATTACTTGTGATACTGCTTTGTTTTCAGTCTGCTTCAGCTTTGGCTGGTTTGCTAGAAGAAGATGTTCTTTCTTCAAGTAATCGCTTTGCAGACAACGCTTGGCGAGGAGCTGAGGCTTACCATTTTTTCATACTTGCACAAAGACAGCTCTATAAAGGTTCTGTAGATGCAGCACTTAAAACAGGTAGGACTTCATTTTCAACCCTATAAAGAAATTGTTCTGCTTGTACAGACCTGCAGAGCACAGAATTTCATTTATAGTTGGCACGTTTTTCTATCCTTGCTAGATCTATGGAATTTAAAACAAAACCATATCATGAATTGATATGGCTACAGTCAAGACCTGGAAAGTATTTTCTTGGAGACAATGCAAATCTAACTTACCAAATATTACCTGGTTAAATTGGACAATCTCTGTAGATGTTCTGTTGACTGTTGTTTCTTTCTTTAAATTCTCTTCTCTCTTCTCTCTTCTCTCTTCTCTCTTCTTTCTCTTCTTATTCAAACATGCCTGAATTCACATCATACCTCCCTGTAGAGCTTCATAAAAAGTTTGTGGGACTTAGAGGAGCAAATAGTGCCCTATACTTTGTCCAAGTAATGAAGGCCCATTTCAAACTCTTACAATGTTAAAAAAAAAAGTCTCAAAAATCCCCTTATTTTTATTTACTTTTAGAAAGCGTTGAGCCATGCGTGCTTCATAGTCATGTCAATTAAAAGACTTTGGTTCTTTGTGTCAAATTTATAAGATTCATACTGTCTACTAGAGGCAGATATTTCATACAGATGCTTACACTTCTCAGAAGACAGGAGTAATTTCCTTGAATTTTTTTTTTTTTTTTTCCATTTGTTAGCTCTTCATCTGCGAGATTATGAAGACATTATCCCTGCCGTTGAGATCTACTCCCTTTTGGCACTCTGTGCATGTGCAAATAGAGCATTTGATGTTTGTTCAAAAGCCTTCGTTAAACTAGAATCCTTGGAAACTCTTAGGCCAGAGCAGAGGCAACAGTATGAAGACCTTGCTCTGGAGATATTCACAAGACATTGTCCAAAGTATAACAAAAAATCTGATCTGGATGATGTTATTGAGAGGTAGGTTTATATTTATACAGTACTCTAATAATACTAGCATTTTTTTCTGCTGTTGTCTGTACTTTGGGTCTTAGCAGGTTTTGTGTGACCAAGTTAATTAGGTGCTTTGCTGCTTAAATCAAATATTGGGCAAGAATGATGCAGGTGTTAGCCAGTTTGCAGAAAGGGTAATACAACACTATTTTATTTGGGAGAATAAACCCTGACTGTATTCGAGGAACTGGGCATAAAGATGTAACTTCATCTTAATTTGAAATGTGTCTGACAGAGTATAGGAGTTTTAGGACCTTTGATAACTTGTCACGTGCCATTAAAGCAATAATGTTACTGTTTGCATCACCATTGTGGTGTGATGCAAATGTCAATAAGCAAATGTTTAACTATTATTAACCAGGAAGTCTCCAGTGTTTTGTGAATTACCTAAATCTACCTGGTGTGAGAAGATGAATGTGTCAAGTGAAAGAATTAGAATTCAAAGGACATGCTTAAGGGTTAAGTTCTTGGGGTGGCTGTACCCACAGTGGTGTCTTTGACATATTCCCTGCTAACAGCATGGAATTTGTGAGTATGGAAATCGATTGTGAATCAGTTTTCTTTTTAATGAATAGGACTTTAACTTGTCTTGTTTGATTTTACTGTGCACATGTACAGAATCTCACTAGTGGCTTTCTTGTTGACTCTTCAGAGGAACAAATGTAGTAGTAGGGCAGGTGTCTGATTGGACCTTACCTTTATATGGCCTTCACTGCTTCTTTTCACTTAATCTTTTGGATCGGCTGGTCCTCGTTTGTTGACTCTCTGGTTCTGGGGGTGTCCATTCTGCTGTGTGAAGATTTACATTGCTGTGTTAACAGTGAAGTGTTAGGGGATTTAGTAACTTCTAACCAGAAAGTGGTGCACATCTGAACAGAGCAGCAGTGTTTTATTAGAGATGAGCATCACAAGTTTTGTAACTAGCTGTAGGCACACAAGTAGGTATTTACTCTGTTTTGCAAATTTCTACAAAACAAGTCTTTGTTGCTATTTTTAAATCATGTTTTTATTCTTTCATCTTTTATTTACTTTTTTTTTTTTTTTAATAGTGGAGATGAGAAACTTCCTATATGTATTGCAACAGGAGACCCCATCCTGGAGTATCGATTCTGGATGTGTAGCGTATGTAAGCACTGCATGAAAGCCAAAGAAGCAGGCAATTATAACTTCTGTCCTCTGTGCCACAGTACAGCATAGCAGAGGATAAAGGACTGTTTATCCTCGTTATCTCTTATGTTTCCTAAAAATACTCTAAAATGTTACTGATGTACTATATTTTAAAATACAACTCAGGATCTGTATTGTAACAGATAGTACTACTATTAAGAGAAACATTTTTAAAAAACCCAAAACAACTAAAAACCAAACCACCCAGCAAACACACAAGAAGAACCTTCACTGGTTCCATTTATGTGAAGAAACGACTGTGTTAAGCTCCATTGTTTGTTACAGTTTTTTTACAAAGGTCTAATTGCAAATTGAGCCTAGTTTCACAGCCATGCTAATTAAATGTGGGTTCATCTAATATGTTTTACTGTGAGCAAGCTCCATGTTTTGTTTTTGTAATTCCATAGGAAATTACTGGGTTTTCTCCAAATTCACTATTTTTTGAAAGAAGTAATTCCTGAGTTGAAATAATGCCATAATACTTGCGATAATATTGTTGTATACATTTTTCTACTACTGTTTCACTAGAGCAATGGTACCAGTTTAGGCACATGTGCTGTTTTCTTCTGCCAAGTGTATTTAAACCCACAATCGCAATAAAGGGCTTGCAGATGTTTAGCCATCAGTGCTGTGAGTCTGCACCTGGGTTCTGGACCTTTGGTGATGTCTTCAGCGAGTTAAGGAAACCTCTGTCAGCCTTCAAACTGGAATCTGGCAATGAGCTGGTGTTTTTGAAGTAGTTTGAAGAGAGTAGTTTCATCTATCCACGGGATTTCAAGAGTTGCAGTGTCATCCTTGTTACAGACAAGGGTTTAAGGAATGCTGCTTTACCTAGACCTGCGTTGTTCTGTTTTATTGCTGGGTTTGAGCCTCTGCTCTGGAAGTGCTGCATGAGCTTTCCCTGGGAGCAGGCGGTGCTGGGCAGCCTGGCAGCAGCTGTGAGCCAGCCTCGACGTTCACGTTGTGAGTGACTTCTGGGAGGAGAACGTGAGGCTTCCTCTGTGCTGGCTCTCGGGGTGCATAATGCCTTTTGGTTGAACTTGGTCTGGTAAGAATAAACCCCATTCCATATATAAAATATTAAATATTACTGGTATTTGAGCTTCTTTTTCCTTCATAGAAATGTGTCTTAGAGGGCTGTGCCAGTTAGGTAATTCTGGGCCCCCCAGTTCAGGAGAGAGAGGGAACTGCTGGAGAGAGCCCAGAGGAAGCTACAAAGATGATTGAGGGGGCTGGAGCATCCTTCTTATGAGGAAATATTGAGAGCTGGGTCTGTTTAGCCTGGAGAAGAGAAGACAGAGAGGGGCATATATAAATATCTAAAGGATGGGGGGCAAGAGGCTGGGGCCAGACTGTTCAGTGGTGGCCAGAGACAGGACAAGGGGCTGGAACACAGGAGGTTCTGCTTAAACAAGAGGAAAAACCTCTTTACTGTGAGGGTGCCA